CTAGAACTACAAGAAGGCTAACTGGAGTCTTTTCACTTCCCAGTTGGACGAAATGTTGAAAAGTCTTCTTCAGAAGACTGGAAATAAATGCCAAACTGAAGATCCTCAACACAACTATTCTAAATGCAGCCAAGGGTAACATACCAGGAGGCAGCAGGAAAAACTTTAAACCTCACTGGTCGCCTGAACTGGACACTCTTCATTCCAAACTTAGTACCAGGAGGGAAAATATGGAGAAGGATCCGACAGATAAAAATGTAATACTTCATAACAGAGCAAAAGCAGCCTTCATTTAAGAGAGAAATAATCAGATGAGGGAAAGCTGGCACAAATAGACAGCGTCATTTAACCTCGAGAAGGACACTTCACGTCTGTGGAATCTCACAAAAAGCTTGAATGGAGACAAGACGGAAAAAGCCAGAGTTGTACTCCAAACAGACGATGGATCGTTTACTGGCAAGGTAGCAGCAGATGTGCTAGCTGAAACACACCAGAAGGAAACTGAGGTTCATATTCCCATGCAAAGAATAAAAGAAGTACGAAACCAGACCAAGACTCTTCTAGCAGACTCTAGCACAAAAACAACCGAGGCCTGCATGTCAGAAAAGTTTACTATGCAAGAGCTAGAAGTTGGAATTGGAGAGTTGAAAATGAAGAAAGCTCCAGGGGCTGATGGCATTACAAACGAATTTCTCTCTCATCTTGGACATGCTGCCAAGAAGTTTCTCCTCTGCATCTACAACCAGAGCTGGCAAAAAGGGGTAGTACCGTCAGCCTGGAAGGAAGCCCTCATCCAGCCTATCCTTTAAAAGGGTGGAGACAGAAGAGACCCAAAAAGCTACAGACCTATTAGCCTTCTTAGTTGTGTAGAAAAATTGATGGAGAAATTAGTAAATAAAAGACTAATATGGTTCCTGGAGACAAACTCAGTAATCACCACCACCCAGACAGGATACAGACAGCACAGAAATACAGAGGACCAGTTGACATATCTTACACAGGAAATTGAGAATGCCTTCCAGGAAAAAAAGAAAGTTCTTGCTGTCTTTTTTTGACCTCTCTCGTGCTTTTGATACAGTTTGGAAAGAAGGCCTACAACTAAAACTGCTATAGGCTGGAGTTGTGCACAACATGTACAAGTGGATCAAAGACTTTCTTTTCCAACACAGAGCCAGATTCAGAATTGATGGACACACCGGCAAAATGGCAAAACTAAGAGAAGGAGTTCCCCAGGGCAGTGCTATATCACCAACTCTGTTCCTGGTTTACATTAATGATATCACAGCAACCTGCCACCAGCACGTTTCTAATACCCTACATGCTGATGACTTTGCAGTTTGGACAGCCTCCGAATACACTACCACAGCCTCATATCTGTTACAAAAAACTGTGGAAAATGTAGAAGCCTGGACCGAAAAGTGGGGTCTAAAGCTAAATAAATCCAAAAGCACAGCATCACTTTTCTCTCTCTCCCCAAAAAAATAAAAAATCGAAATTTGGATTAAAAACCAGCTCATTCCACAGACTGACACTCCTACCTTTCTGGGTGTTACACTTGATTCGCGACTAACTTGAAAGTCACATATAGAAGCAGTACAGGGAAAAGCATTCAAGAAGCTTGCAGTTATGAAAAAAATTAGCGGGTACCACATGGGGCGCTAATTCTAGAATCCTAAAACAAGTATATACTGGAGCAGTCAGGCCAGTCATGGAATATGCCTCCACTGCATGGGCTGCAGCAGCCAAGACAACAATGGAAAAACTGGACAAGGTTCAGAATATGGGATTAAGGATTGTTCTCGGAGCCATGAAAACCACCCCCATCAGAGAAATAGAAAAGATAGCAGATACTGAACCACTCGAACTCAGAAGACAATACAAAACTCTTTTACAGTATGAGAAATTAAAAAGACTTCAAAGTCACCCACTGCATTTTAAATTTCAAGAGAGAACAAAAAACAGACTGAAGCGTCAGAGCCCCAACCACCTTGCTAGAGAACTGTACAGACAGCACCAAGATCTGCTTGAAAGAGATGTTGCACTGTGCCAAAAACTTAGGCCAGAACCATGGACAAGCAAGCCAGATAAAGTAAATGTAGTCCTAAAGGTACCATGGATCACTTCAAAAGATGCCCAGATGGAGACATAACAGAGAACCCTGGCTCTTGCTATGCTTGATGAGAAGTATCCAAACACCACTTGGACTCAGGTTTTCACGGACGGCTCTGCTACAGATGCAGTCAGAAAAGGGAGTTGTGGAATTTACATTAAACCCCCTTGCAGTAGAGCAGAAACTCTCTCTCTACCAGCAGGTGACATCTGCACTAACTTCAGAGCTGAGGCAACTGCCCTCCTCTCTGCAGTCTAACATCTCATCACTCAAGAACACAGAGGGCACCAAATTGTTATACTTAGTGACTCATTGTCTGTTCTCCAAGCACTATCCAGCAAAAAACAAGACAAACTAATTGCTGATCTAAGGACCAACATTGGCTTACTCTCCAAGGAAGCAGAACTGGTCCTGCAGTGGATACCAGCCCACTGTGGTATTCAAGGAAATGAGAGAGCAGATGAGTTGGCAAAAGCTGGGAGTAATCTTCCACAACCTCATCCACCACACAGCTACAAGAAAACCAAAACAGCGCTAAAGCAGTCTTTCAAGCGGGAGTGGAGAAGGCAGAATGATGATTACAGACCAGAGAGTGACAGCATAAACAAACTCAACAGGAAAGAACAAACATCAATTTTTAGACTTCGGACTGGACACTGGTCTTCGAGCACACCTGTACAGGATAGGCATAAAAAAATCTGCTGCCTGTGATTGTGGAGCACAAAGACAAACCCCTGAGTACATACTACAGTACTGCCCTAACCTCACCCAGCAAAGACTGTGGATCTGGCCCAAAGGAGCCACATTGCAAGAGAAGCTATGGGGGACCGGTGGCGACCTTAAACGCACAATCCTATTTGTGACCCAGACGGGACTCAATGTTTAGCATGACTGATGTCGAACGCAGAAGAAAGAAGAAGGTTATCTCCACATACTAAAGCATCTGCTGTATCATTTGGTTATCTCCACATACTAAAGCATCAGTTATATCATTTGGTTATCTCCACATACTAAAGCATCAGTTATGTCATTTGGTTATCTCCACATACTAAAGCATCAGTTATATCATTTGGTTATCTCCACATACTAAAGCATCAGTTATATCTTTTGGTTATCTCCACATACTAAAGCATCAGTTGTATCATTTGGGTATCTCCACATACTAAAGCATCAGTTATGTCATTTGGTTATCTCCACATACTAAAGCATCAGTTGTATCTTTTGGGTATCTCCACATACTAAAGCATCAATTGTATCATTTGGTTATCTCCACATACTAAAGCATCAGTTATATCATTTGGTTATCTCCACATACTAAAGCATCAGTTATATCATTTGGTTATCTCCACATACTAAAGCATCAGTTATATCATTTGGTTCTCTCCACATACTAAAGCATCAATTGTATCATTTGGTTATCTCCACATACTAAAGCATCAATTGTATCATTTGGTTATCTCCACATACTAAAGCATACGTTGTATCATTTGGTTATCTCCACATACTAAAGCATACGTTGTATCATTTGGTTATCTCCACATACTAAAGCATATATTGTATCATTTGGTTATCTCCACATACTAAAGCATACGTTGTATCATTTGGTTATCTCCACATACTAAAGCATACGTTGTATCATTTGGTTATCTTCACATACTAAAGCATACGTTATATCATTTGGTTATCTCCACATACTAAAGCATCAGTTGTATCATTTGGTTATCTCCACATACTAAAGCATACGTTGTATCATTTGGGTATCTCCACATACTAAAGCATACGTTATATCATTTGGTTATCTCCACATACTAAAGCATACGTTATATCATTGGGCTATCTCCACATACTAAAGCATCAGTTATATCATTTGGTTATCTCCACATACTAAAGCATCAGTTATATCATTTGGTTCTCTCCACATACTAAAGCATCAATTGTATCATTTGGTTATCTCCACATACTAAAGCATCAATTGTATCATTTGGTTATCTCCACATACTAAAGCATACGTTGTATCATTTGGTTATCTCCACATACTAAAGCATACGTTGTATCATTTGGTTATCTCCACATACTAAAGCATATATTGTATCATTTGGTTATCTCCACATACTAAAGCATACGTTGTATCATTTGGTTATCTCCACATACTAAAGCATACGTTGTATCATTTGGTTATCTTCACATACTAAAGCATACGTTATATCATTTGGTTATCTCCACATACTAAAGCATCAGTTGTATCATTTGGTTATCTCCACATACTAAAGCATACGTTGTATCATTTGGGTATCTCCACATACTAAAGCATACGTTATATCATTTGGTTATCTCCACATACTAAAGCATACGTTATATCATTGGGCTATCTCCACATACTAAAGCATCAATTGTATCATTTGGTTATCTCCACATACTAAAGCATCAGTTGTATCATTTGGGTATCTCCACATACTAAAGCATTAGTTATGTCATTTGGTTATCTCCACATACTAAAGCATCAGTTATATCATTTGGGTATCTCCACATACTAAAGCATCAGTTATCTTGTATGCACTTACTAAAAGTTTTCAAGAGCTGTGGTAACATGGTGGCAGAACACTCGTCTGCTGGCCTGAAGGTCTTGGGTTTGAATCTGTAGTGAGGGAGTTTGACCTTGGCTGCCAGGTCGACCTGGCTTAAACTGACCACACCACCTAGAGAGTGCCAGTTGGGCTATAAACATGTAGTCTACATTGTATACCAAATGTCTCAGTGGCCTAAAGATGAACCCTTTTTTTTTTTTATTTATGTTTAAAAGTTTTAATTGTCTTTGGTTTCATTGCTTTTTATTGATTATTTGAAGAGAAGCTAATATGTTTTCCTTGTTTGCTCCTGAACTACATCCCAGGTTTCTGACAAGAGTCTGGCCTTGTGTTTGAACCTGGACACTGTCACTTACAGAGTCAAGGAGATGCCTCCAGGAGACAGCAACTCATTCTCTTCCCTCCACTGCAGGCTTTCCCCGGCAGCACCTGCTTCATCCATGGCCAAGCCGACTTCTGCCAAAGTGGACAATAACGAAGCAACTTCAGATATTAATATGAAACGTTCAGCTAGTTCTGATGAACGGGACGAGTCCACAGCCAAAAGGTTTAAGATATCAAATGTGTTGGCTCCAGCTAGAGACAAGAGGATGTCTTCATCTGTTGCTGTGAGTGTGGCTAGTACATTCCCAATAGCTGCAACTACAGCAAAGTGCACAGAGAGCAGAATCAACCTGATCAATGCTGAGCCAACTGTGTCGTCTGCATTATCGTCCTTACCTTCAGCCATATCACTTCAGTCAGCTCAAGTACATGGCCATTCGTCAACCGTTTCCTTACCAACATCATTACTGTCGTCATCGTTGTCATCCCACAGTGTTACTACAGCATCTAAATCTACCTCATTAAATATTCGTTCCCCCTACATACACATTTCCTGCCCCACAACAAAGCAACAGCCAGTCTCCAACACAGTGGGCGGCCCCAGGAAGCACAGTCCGGCCTCCAGCAAGACCTCTAAGAGTCATCCAGTGACAGTTGCCATCACTGAATCTGCTTGTGTGCCTGAGTCCAAATCACACATGTTGCCTTACATCATCAGCAGCTGCAGCAGTTCTTCAATGGGACATCAGCAGAAGGTGATTTTTGCGACATCAGAAAACCAGACCCTGCCAACAGGCAACAGCATACCTGTAGTCCTGGCCGCCCCAGGTACCCAGCAGCTCATCAGCTCTGCAGCTGTGCTACTGACCACCAGCTCAGTGAGTTCAGGATCTAATATGATGGTCAGGCAACCAGCTCGGTCTCATCAACCAAATGCCCATGTTCTCACAAATCCGTCAACATCTTCCAGGTCCCAGAAAGGAAGCTCACCCTCATCATCACTGTTTCCCTCACCTTCTGTATCTTCTAGCCAAACACTGGCAGGGTCCACACATCCACGGTCTCTCCTAGGAATCGTGAAACCCACCCAAGTCAGAGTGTCCAGGCAGCTGTTTCACGAGACCACCAGTCTACCTCTGACTTCTTCAGTTGTTACTAATGGCCACAGTTCCATAAAGCCTGAAGTAGCATCCATGGACTTGCATCCTCTGTTACAGAATTTCAACGTAAAGACCGGAGTCACACATGCAGACTTAAATTCAATGTCAGCAACAGTCTCCACCAACTGCCAGCTCTCTGCCTCCATCGCAAGTGCTACAGTCAGCAGCATTCAGCAGCTGCTTATCAAACCAGCTCCCATCAGTAAGACTTTGATGACTCCGCCATCTGGGCAGCAGTTTTCCACTAGTCCAAGCAAAACCGTGATCAACTCGCACATGGCTGGCGTCGACGACATATCAGTCCTTACAGGCATGGATTTGTCCGGCGATGAGCTGGGCCCATTAAACACATCTTCTGATAGTTTGAACGGGGCTCTGTCAGGGTGCTCCCATCTGGCAGACTCACTAATGACGTCAGATGTGACAGCAGCATCTAGTGTTTCAGAAGCAGATGAAAGTCTGACAGGCATGGTGCACATTGTGGACTCAGACATGCAGGCATTTGACACTATCAGTAAAGCTAATCTTAGTGCCACTGATGGTATACCACTAGTCAACGGCAGCTGTTCCTCATATATAAAGACTAAAGACTGTACTATCATCACTCAGACCTCTTCATTATCATCCCCCAGTTCATCGTTGCCCTTAGCTTTATCTGATTCATCTGACTTTCTTCGTGTCTCCAAATCAACCAAGTTAGTGTCCTCAAGTTCTCCAGATTCCACAAGTATTATGCAGCCAGCACTCTATCACATGACCTTGAATGTGCCAGTCAGTAATCAAAGTTACAAGTCTGATGCATCCATTATGATGTCAGACATGTCATTTCCCAACCAGGGAACAGCTGAGATTATGGACAGTGACAGTTGCCAACTTGATGGCATCTCACCCATCTTAGCATCCGATGAACTTCAGGACAATGGTATCAGTATTTTATCTGAGCCAATGCCAGGCATTGATGCCCAGGGAACAGATGGGCAGAGCATGGACTTGGGCCAAGTGGCTATTTCAGATTCATTGGCCGGGGAAGAGGATGGGCAGCTGTTTTTGTCTGAAGATACGAGCATTTACCAAATAGAGGATGGGACAATCATCATACAGAAAGCAAATGGTAACACATACCAGCTGCAGGGGGCTCAGGGGCTTTCCCTGGAAACTGTTCAGGCTTTGTTATCTGGGACACTGGACCAGCTGGTCGGAGTCGATGTCACTGGGGAGGGCATACAGACAGACATGAACCTGCACTGACATCATCATCACTTTCCTCTTCTGCCTAGACTCTACAGGTCCTTGTGCCTATATTTTCAGTTAGGTACACATCGTCGGTACTATAGCAAAGTCACCTAAATGCAACTAAGGTGATTTTCACTTAAGTGCATTTGCAGGACTTGTATTTGTCACTTTACAATATGCAAAGGTACAGATGTGAATTCCTGCTCCAGATGGTTCCAAATTAAGTATTGCTTTTCACACCACTGCACATCTTTTCATTCAGAAATGTTCATTGTTCTTGAAACACGCATTTGAAGCTTAGGTGACTGAGCTTAGTGTCAACAACAATATATTCAGCTGTTGGCAGTCTTGATTTACTGACAGGAAAACTAGTACTAACAGCAGCAGGAAGTAATAAGTAGGGGCATCAAAAGGTGGAGAGGTTCCTGACTAGGAGAGAGATGCATCACTGGGAGAGAAGTGCCTGACTAGGAGAGAGATACATCACTGGGAGAGAGGTGCCTGACTAGGATAGAGATGCATCACTGGTAGAGAGGTGCCTGACTAGGAGAGAGATGCATCACTGGGAGAGAGGTGCCTCACTAGGAGAGAGGTGCCTGACTAGGAGAGAGATGCATCACTGGGAGAGAGGTGCCTCACTGGGAGAGAGATGCCTGACTAGGAGAGAGGTGCATCACTGGGAGAGAGGTGCCTGACTAGGAGAGAGATGCATCACTGGGAGAGAGGTGCCTCACTGGGAGATAGGTGCCTGACTAGGAGAGAGATGCATCACTGGGAGAGAGATGCCTTACTGGGAGAGAGATGCCTCACTGGGAGAGAGATGCCTCACTGGGAGAGAGATGTCTTGACTAGGAGAGAGGTGTCTTGACTAGGAGAGAGGTGTCTTGACTAGGAGAGAGATGCCTCACTGGGAGAGAGATGCCTCACTGGGAGAGAGATGCCTCACTGGGAGAGAGGTGTCTTGACTAGGAGAGAGATGCCTCACTGGGAGAGAGGTGTCTTGACTAGGAGAGAGATGCCTCACTGGGAGAGAGATGCATCACTGGGAGAGAGGTGTCTCGACTAGGAGAGAGGTGGCTCATTAGGAGAGAGATGCATCACTGGGAGAGAGATGCCTCACTGGGAGAGAGATGCCTCACTGGGAGAGAGATACCTCACTGGGAGAGAGGTGTCTTGACTAGGAGAGAGATGCCTCACTGGGAGAGAGATGCATCACTGGGAGAGAGGTGCCTCACTGGGAGAGAGGTGTCTGACTGGGAGAGAGGTGTCTTGACTAGGAGAGAGATGCCACACTGGGAGAGAGATGCCTCACTGGGAGAGAAATGCCTCACTGGGAGAGAGATTCCTCACTGGGAGAGAGATGCCTCACTGGGAGAGAGGTGTCTTGACTAGGAGAGAGATGCCTCACTGGGAGAGAGATGCCTCACTGGGAGAGAGGTGTCTTGACTAGGAGAGAGATGCCTCACTAGGAGAGAGATGTCTTGACTAGGAGAGAGATGTCTTGACTAGGAGAGAGGTGCCCCACTGGGAGTAGAAGCTACATACACTCAACCTCACACAGAAGATGCAGGCAAGTCACTAGTGATCCTGCTGATCCTGTCCATTCCCGGTGGCATTCATTCATTGTGCTATTGTGCTATGATAGACATCACATAGGGCTCGCAGTCTCTTTCTGCATTCCGTTCTGTCTTCTTCTTTATCACGGATGGAATCCAGTCCAGCACCTTTGTCTTCTCTCATCAGCATTCACCGAAGGGTTTCTCTTGTATGCCTTCGATCACTCCTATTTCCCTTTCTATTGCGTGTTTGGTGATTCTCTGTTGGTCTCTTCTCAGAATGCATCCACTGTGGCGCCATCTTCTCTGTCTTATAACTGTTGAAAAAAGTGGCTGCCCAGACTTTTCTCTTTTTGTCTTCACACCTCTTTAATTCATCCCATTTTTTCATTAACACTACCAGACCTAAGCCCTGAACCTAACTGCCCCCGATACCTGAACATCAACACGAAAAAACCAACATGATATACAAAAATGTTAGTGTCATCCAAACAAGTGGTTAGATTAAGATGAAACTTGGAGACATTGTAGAAAATAGGTTTACCTTTCATTTAGTGGCAATATTCCACCTTTGTTTGCCATTCCACTCAGCAAGATCGGCCTTGTTTCACAAAGTGAGCACCAGATGTTGCTGTTTAAGGGACACACCCCTTCTCTTACTATCAATTTAGTTTTAAATCTATAATTTTCAAGATTCTCCTCATCACTCCAGCTCACACTGACTGTGTCAACTGGGAACATAGTCTTCATGAAATTCTGACTCCTCAGAGTCTTAACTTACCAAAGTATCGATCACCTGTTGGACTTGAAAAGCATAGACCTACTTCACTTTCCGGTTGAAGTGCCTGGTTCATCAGCCGCTCGTTTCATTGTGAATTTTCAGAATTTTTTCACGTTGAACCACACAAAGTAAATCCAAACACATGTGAGCAGTAATTCGCAATGCCTAACCACGAGGTCTGACCATGATTGGCTAGTTATTTTTAGTCTGTGATGCATTGTTTTCACGTAATACACAAAGTACCTGCAAAAGAGGTTTAGCGGCAGATTAGGAAATTACCGTAGTAGCAGGACATAGGTCTGGTAGAGTTAACCTTGGATATGAAGCAGGAAGTGTTCTCAGAAGCAACAGTAGCCAACATTGACCATATCACTATCAAGTGCCATTGGACTATACAGAATATAGACCTAGTACCATATGCCCCACTATGTGGAATTTGGTCCTTCTTTTTTTTTAAAGACAACTCATTGTTATCTTAGGCCTACGTCTATGAGGTATACTGTGTGTTTAATGAGTTGGCAGGGTCTTGAAGTAAATGTTTGTTACATTCATCGCCGAAACTGGCAGTACAATTCCAGTGTAGCATTTTACGATTAAAGAAATCCTCATAGTATCATAAGTATGTACTAGTGTATCATTTCTGCACAGCAGACAGTACAAATTTACAAGTTTCTGCATTGTCATGTCTACACATCAGACAGTACCAAGTGTACAAGTTTCTACATTGTCATGTCTACACATCAGACAGTACCAAGTGCACAAGTTTCTGCATTGTCATGTCTACACATCAGACAGTACCAAGTGCACAAGTTTCTGCATTGTCATGTCTACACATCAGACAGTACCATGTGTATATAATAATGTCACATCAGACAGTGCCATATGTGCAAGTGTCTACATTATCATGTCTGCATTTCAGTCAGTACCATATGACTAATGTTTGCATGCTGATTTCTATACACCAGACAGTATCTAAGTATGCATTGATGTCTGCATTCTCATGTCTGTACAACACACAGAACCATAGGTATGCAGTAGTGTCTGCATCAGCAGTTCTCACCCTGTGGATCGTGACACTTTTGTGGGTCGAATGATCCTTTCACGGGGGTCGCCAAAGACTATCTGAAAACACATGTTCACTAAAGTGATAAAGTAGCATAGTTGGGGGTTGCTACAACATTAGGAAGTGTATTAAATGGTTGCCGCATTAGGACGGTTGAGAGCCACCGTTCTACATGCTCATGTCAACACATCAGACAGTAACATGTGTAGTTAATAATGTCTGCAAACCAGACAGTACAATGTGTACTAGTGTTTGCATTCTTACGTCTACACAGCAGTCATATATACATATACATTTCTGCATTCTCCAGTTCACACACCAGACAGCTTCGCACAGTGTTATTTTAAAGCAGGTAGTTGTTTGGTCAAGTACACACGTTTATGTGTTATTGTTTTCAGAGAAATTGATGTCAAAATTGTTGATAATCTCAGATTTGCTAAATACAGACTAGCAAGAGTTCACCACATTGTTGTTTACATTTGTGTGTGAATGTATCTTAATTACTTTCAGCTGTGAGTCCTATTGTGTTGTGTAGAGGAATGATGTGATCTTAGTCTGTCCAATTCTACTCTGGGATGTAAGCATACCTTACAATGTTGATTGTGTGGTCTGTCATCTGTCCTGGGGTGTAGACATACCTTACAATGTTGATTGTGTGGTCTGTCATCTGTCCTGGGGTGTAGACATACCTTACAATGTTGATTGTGTGGTCTGTCATCTGTCCTGGGGTGTAGACATACCTTACAATGTTGATTGTGTAGTCTGTCATCTGTCCTGGGGTGTAAGCATACCTTACAATGTTGATTGTGTAGTCTGTCATCTGTCCTGGGGTGTAGACATACCTTACAATGTTGATTGTGTAGTCTGTCATCTGTCCTGGGGTGTAAGCATACCTTACAATGTTGATTGTGTAGTCTGTCATCTGTCCTGGGGTGTAGACTTACCTTACAATGTTGATTGTGTAGTCTGTCATCTGTCCTGGGGTGTAGACATACCTTACAATGTTGATTGTGTAGTCTGTCATCTGTCCTGGGGTGTAGACTTACCTTATAATGTTTTTTATTTAGTCTCTCCTGTTCTTCCCTGGAATGTAATCCTTCCTTATAATGTTTATTGTTTAGTCTCTCCTCATCTACCCTGAGATATAGTCATACCTCAAAGTGCTTACTGTTTAGTCTGTCCTTTTTTATTCTGAGATGTCGACACACCTTATAATGTTTACTGTTTATTCCCTTCTACCCTGGGATGTGGATACACCATAACAATGTTTACTGTTTAGTCTTTCTCCTTCCACCCTGGTGAATGGTGATATTATTTGTTTAGTCTTTCCTAGTTTACCCTAAAGTGAAGGTAATGCAACTTTATTTTTAAAAATGCCTGTGGTATATTGGTTGTATGATCTTAGACCAGAGAGCACCCGATGGGTGATGTGGTCAACAGTTTTATAGACTGGTCAATACTCAGTGGGTGATGTGGTCAACAGTTTTATAGACCGGTCAATACTCAGTGGGTGATGTGGTCAACAGTTTTATAGTCCGGTCAACATTTGGCTGGGGTGTGATCAACATTTATGTAGACCAGCCAGCACTCGGCGGATGATGTGGTCAAGATTTGTATTGACTAGCCAGAACTCAATGGGTGATGTCAACATTTTTATAGACCAGTCAACACTTGGTGGGTGATATGGTCAAGAATTGTATAGACCAGTCAACAATTGGTGTGTGATATGGTCAACAATTGTATAGACCAGTCAACACTTGGGGAGTGATGTGGTCAACAATTGTATAGACCAGTCAACACTTGGGGGGTAATGTGGTTAAGAATTGTATAGACCAGTCAGCACTTGGTGGGTGATGTTTTCAAGAAATGTATAGACCAGTCAACACTTGGTGGGTGATGTGGTCAACAATTGTATAGACCAGTCAACACTTGGTGGGTGATGTGGTCAAGAATTGTATAGACCAGTCAACACTTGGTGGGTGATGTGGTCAAGAATTGTATAGACCAGTCAACACTTAGTGGGTGATGTGGTCAACAATTGTATAGACCAGTCAACACTTCGTGGGTGATGTGGTCAACAATTGTATAGACCAGTCAACACTTAGTGGGTGATGTGGTCAACAATTGTATAGACCAGTCAACACTTGGGGGGTGATGTGGTCAACATCAAGAGATGAAGCTTCAGCATCACATGATAGTAGTCGCTGGATCTATTCTTACAGAATGAAATATTTGAATATTTTCGTTCCAATGCCTGGTATGGAACAAACCTTAGTGACCATGAATCTACAATTCCAGCCCTAAGATATTTGCAATATTCAAACAGTTACATTATTTTTTTTTTCTATCGGCACCATAGAGAGCCATAGGAATCTCGCAGCCCGTCATGACAGCAGAGAATCCCAAGACCATATAAGGCCAGGGATGAAAGTTCTTCCTTTCCCTGGCACAAAGCCTGGGCAGTGTAGCTAAGAGAATTTGTTACCCATGCAGCCTGATCCCTCTCTCTGGTTGCCTTTTTTTTTTTTTGGGTTGATGCAAAGGAAAGGTAACTTGTGCGATAACTCGCATTAGTAACAAGTACGCCAGGTCAAAGTGCGAGAGTGCACATTGATATTCGAGATGTGGTTGAGCAAAGTAAGTGTTAATACTAGGTTACATGGTGTTTGTGGAGTCAAGTTATGCTCTGTGAACTTAGCTCAAGAGACAGTGGTGGCCACCACAAAGGTTGCGTAGAAAGTCTTAGATCCATGTGGTGGAGAACCGTGTGGAAGACTGATTCAGCTGCTCCCAGTTAGTCAGATAGAAGGGACAGATGAGAATGGTTCTAGACCCCCATGGATGTATGCTATATTATTCTGTGGTTACAATGAGGTATTATTGTCAAGGCCAGATGCAGCTGTTGAGATGTTGCTACCACTGGAGACTGTCCAGCCAGATGCGGCTGTTGAGCTTGTGCCACCGCTGTGTGTACTCATCAGAATTTAGCAGACAAACAGCGGTTAATTCATTGATTACCATTTCATCATAGTTATGTGTGCACACATAATATACACAGCTGAGTGCACTAGCACAGAGGTTTTTTGGTGGTATATTACAATTGTGTTGGATAATTTTGAACCTGGCTTAATTATAGTATTCCTGTTGCTGTCATCCCTGCCGTCCACATAGTTGAGTCCTGTATGCAGAATTGTATAACACTGGCTGAACTGTTGCTGTCATCCCTGCCGTCCACATAGTTGAGTCCTGTATGCAGAATTGTATTACACTGGCTGAACTGTTGCTGTCACCCATGCCGCCCACATTGTTGAGTCCTGTATGCAGAATTGCATTACACTGGCTGAACTGTTGCTGTCACCCCTGCCGTCCACATAGTTGAGTCCTTTATGCAGAAATGTATCACACTGGCTGAACTGTTGCTGTCACCCCTGCCGTCCACATAGTTGAGTCCTGTATGCAGAAATGTATCATACCGGCTGAACTGGAGACCAATGTCTACATGGTCCATGAAGAGTGCCCTAGTTGACCAAGTATCAGGTTGATACCTGGAGTTGTTATATCAGGCAGCAGATGGAAGTCAGGATTCTCAACAACAAAAAGTGTGCGCATTTACCAGGAGTTCCTCATGTGACAGAGTTTTTAAAACTGGAAACATCAGTGGACAGTTGCTGTCTCATCACAACAGATGTATCTGTGTGGTATGGCCAACTCGCCAGTATCAGGCACCTGGGCATATGTGGCAGGAGTGTATTGTTAGTAATTGCAGTGTAATGTATTTCAATGTGCAAGACTGAATGAGGGACTTTTGACCTTGTAGAGGGAGGTGCATTTGTATCATCAACATCTCTGTGCTGTAAAATCATTAGTCCAGTGTGGTATTTTGCTGTGGCTGAAGACGGGACAGGGTTAATCTGCCTACATACAGATAGGCACCTCTCCTTTCTACCAGGTTGCAGTGGTTGGAGCTTAAATCATATTCTGACAATTTGGCAAGTATGTGAGCTAGGACAGGCATAGTGTCCGGGAGTCTAGCACGTCAGTAACACTAGAATATTTGGAACCAACCATGCTGCAAAAGCTGCAGGATCACAAGAGCGGTTCTGTGTCCGTACCCCTGTCAGAGTGCTAAATGACAGATGTGAATAGTAAGCACACAAGGGGAAGATAGACAGAGACAGGAGAAGGTAACAGTTCTAATCTACACTTTCACTGCTTGGAAGTCAAGACAAAACCACTTCAGAATGGCTCAAGGACTTCTATAAGTGAATCTGTGGTTACTAACATTATTTAAAGTAAAAAGAATAACTACATTAATATAGCACATAATCATAATAAATTATAAAGAAACACATCATTATTAACAAACAACATAAATCCACATAAAATGTATGTATTCATAATTTATTCATTATAATTACATTGGTAGCAGTACAGGAAAATTGCATTTGTGTTCTTAAATGCAAATCCGTGACATTACAGGACTAAATTTTTACAATGGATGGTTTAGAAATGGACCGTTTTTATGGTTTTCTGCATGTTAATAAAACATGAGAGTGGCACCAAGGAAGCAACAGGTGCCTCACCAGCAAATATTTGCAAAGACACTGATCAATCCACTGCAGCCAAGCTCCATTGTGGTGAAGGCACAGTTTGTATAATACACAATATAATGCACCAGAGACCATAATGAGCAATGAAACTGGGACTTCTTCTGCCTTCTAATCCCCAAAGGAGCAGAGGCTCTCAACCAACTAAACCCCAAGTCGTTCTCTCCTTCACATTCGCACGCAGCTCTCCCCCATCATTTTAACTTCACCCTTTAGCTCCCTTCTCCATGTGTTTCATATTTGAACAAGTGCAATATAAATACAGCAATTGATCATGTTCACATCGTCAAGAACTGTCTCTTCATAAAATGGCTACCAAGAGTGTGACAACAGTCAGGAACTCCTAAGTTCCAAAGACGATCCCCAGGGATCGCATAAAAAAGAAATAATGAGAAATGAAAGAACCTCATAACCTTCACATGCTGGGGGAAACAGCTTGGCCAATCTGCCACAGAGACCTTCTCAATCTGCTCTGGTGAATTTCAGCTGCCAAGGGATTTTTTAATATATGACGTATGTATGGTATCCCATGTTTATAACTCACATTCAGGTAGTCAGTGATTGACAAAACACTAAAACCCTCTGCTCCATGAACAATGATGGTCATGTTGAAAAGTGCTCAGAAGGACAAAGTCACCTGACATGGCCAGTTTCAACCAGCAGCGCCTCCAGCAGATCGCAGCATACAGATCTGATATAAGGCTGGTGCATCCAGGATGAAGAGTAAAACATCATCATGTCTCGGCTGTCTGCGTGAGCCACCTGTCGACAAATTTCTCTCTTGAACTGGAGTTCTTGCTCAAAGTCTTCATGTATGGTCTTTAGTGTTTCTGCTGCAAATATCAAACAGAATTATTGTCCAGTTGCAAAACATCAATCAACTGTAAACATGAGTGCTTTCTGAACATTATTATTATGTGCCTTGCCCCAGAAGCCACATGATGTTGTACACTACAATCCTAAATCTGAATCTGCCGTACAACTGTGTCAGCCCAGACTCCATCACTCAGAGAAGCTGTTGGGAGGTTGCTTCCACCAAGCGTGAGACAATGAGGGTCTTTCTCCTAGTCTACACAGTACTTTTAGATAACAACATAGTCTTGTAGATATTTCAAGCACATATAAAGAAAGAATTATCAAGTTATTGAATCAGATCATAAGGCACATCATCAGGAGAAGTGGACAGATAATCCCTAAACAGGCAGCAAAATGGGAAAAGAAATGGACCAAGACATCAAAGTGAAACTCTAAGACAAAAGTTTCAAAAGGCCCAAATTCTCGACCAGATTCCCATTCACGATGTTAAAAGAATAGTCTAGGATAGAAAGGATTAGAGGCCTACACTATGAACCCTACGTTACAGAGAAAGGTACGAGAGAATTATGATGATTCAGTCAGAAAAATGTGAGTGTAGTTTCTAAACATAACCACGGATCTGTTCAGCTGATAAACAAAACTGCTGATAAAGTGGTACACATCACAGAATCAGCGATAAGTCTACAAATACAGCTGTTAATAAATAAACAAAACTGTTGATAAAGTGATATACTCCATAAAATAAGTGATAAACCTGTCCAGAAACAGCTGACAATAAATAAATAAACAAACGTGATAAACTGACATATACCACAAAATCAGCAATAAATCTGGGCAGACACCACAAAAGTAAAGTAAACAAAACTGGAGATACAGAGGTATAAAAACCATGGACAAATATGTGCAGATACAGCTGATAATAAATAAATAAACAAAACTGGAGATACACGTATAAAACCATGGACAAAAATGTGCAGATACAGCTGATAATAAATGAATAAGTAAATAAAAATGGTGACAAACCAATATACAGCCACAAGTTCAGTGATAAATCTGTGCAGACACAGCTGATAACACATAAACAAAACTGGTAAGAAACTGATTCATACCCACATCCTGCAATGTCATGGTTGAGAAGAGAATAGAGCTGGAGGCATGGGCCTTGTACTGCTGTTGATAAGATGATAAACCAGTTGCAGTCTTCACTTTGAGATGCATTTTGGCCTCCAATTTGCTCTAGGAAAATATGTGAATCAATTTATTATATTACACCTACAATAACAACAACCAGAGAACTAAGAGCATGTTTATATCTCAGACACACTGTCTGGAATATGCAGGAGTATAAGGAAATGAAACAGTAGACGGTTGTGGCTATAAAAGCAACTGCTGCAGGAACACTCACATTTGACAAAGGAACAAAAGAGTCATTCTGAAGCACATCTATGAAAGAATATTCACAGAAGACATGAGGTTAGATGAAATAACATGTGAGAAATTGTGAAAGTGAAACTAGGTGTGGATCCCACAAGGAGGGATGTGTGTATAGTCAGTAGGGCTGTACCGAATAGTGATTTTTACTGTTCAGCCGAATACGAATAGCGGGACCAACTATTCGGCAGAATATGAATAGTACATCATCTTAATCAGGTGCCTTGCCGACTGGCGTGGGCGAATATGCCTCTCCACAATCTGTGATCTCCTGCAGCATGTATTAGTTTGTGTGCCAACACACCTCCATGCCATGCAACAAGACTGTCAAGAATCTTCTCTCGTTGTCTTCCTCTATCCCTCCTTCCACAGATCTTTCCACTGGTCACAACATGTTCAATTTTCCCTCTTCTCATAACATGGTCAAAAAATTATGACTGTCTCCTTCTGATGTCTGATTAGTTGTCTTCGAACTCCCACCTCTTTCAAAACTTTTTGGTTTCTTTTTTTTTTTTTGCTGTCCAGGGTATTGTAAGCATTGTTTTGTACATCACTGAGGCCTCAAGCAATTGTTTGGCCTGCCTACTGATTGTCCAGGACTCATAACGCATTGCCTTTAACTATAAGTGCTTACTTGATGAGGCTAACAGTGACTATTGTACAGACCACATTTTCCACTTTAAAATTTCAGCCAAAACGTAATCACAACCTTACTTATCCGCTGCACTTTCACAAATACAGATGAAGGATCAGTCGCACCTCGAGATAAATACAATTTTTAGCAAGCTGCGGTTGGCTTTTTATGCAGTTTGATACACTTTGAGTGTGAAACAAGGAAAAAAAACTTGTTGACAGTGGCGAGGAAAGACACCCCTGGCATACACACCCAGTTTGAGAACCTCTGTTGTAATGCGTCGGTCAAGTCAGCAGGCAAAGACCTTGCTAGCTGCTGTACCACGCAACCGGGCATCAGTTTCCTCAGCTACGACAGACTTATCAACTATTGTGTTAATGAAAGAGTTATCTCAGTCCATCGCAGTGTATGCAAAACGGGTGTAAGGTAACCACTATTCGTATTCGGCCGAATACTGAATAGCTATTAAGTCCACTATTCGGCCCTGAAGCGAATATTCAGTACAGCCCTAACAGTCAGTATGCTATGAAAGCAGTTAGCATCTACATATTGAGACATCTGCTGTGGAAGATGGAGCATCTATATGTATGCCCAGTGTGCTAGGCTATGTTGATTTTTAAATCAGTAATCTTATATCAATTTGCAGGTGTCTTCTTTGACCCTTCTGTCAAGAAACTTACTCCAGCAGTCTTGATAAAGCTATGGTCCAGACCAAATCTCCCTGTGTACTACGTGGCTTTATCTTGACTGGGGTTTGAACAGGCCAAATGTTTTCTCTGTTGGCAGTTGACAGTGCTGAAGTGCATGCTCAACTCTTATAGAGGCCAAGTTGCAGGGACACATCTTGGTATTTCCTACACCCAAAAAACTTGAACATATGTTGCTAAATCTCGTTGCCTGTCATTAGTCCAAACATAACAAATTGTGATTGCTTCTCTGTCTTTAGAAAGGCGATGAAAGAGGCGTGAAACTGTTCACCGACAAGCACATATGCACTTTAAAGCAAGGGCGTTCAACTAAGTTTACCCAGAAGCCCAACATTCTGAGAGCAGGCAACATTAAGGTACAGAGAACCGAGCACCATGTGGCCTGTGGGCTGCCAGTTGAATAGCCCCGCCTCAAAGTATCAATGTTCTGGAAGAGAAATAAATCTTCATTGAACTGAAGAAAACAAGAGACATATTCGTCTAACAAGAACTAGGTTTTAGGATGATGAAATAAAGCAAATAATTGAACAAAATTAAGATTTTGGGCAGCTAAAGGGATGGAAGATAATCATGGAGGGAGGAGTTCCAGGAAAGTGGAGAACAAAAAGAACGAACTTTCCTTATTTCCAAAGTGTCACAAATTGGGCATGCCCCTTTCACCTGGTAGCATTATCTTTAAAGCATGTTAGAATAATATAGTGATACACATAGTACAAATATGAACTAGAAATACAAAAGCATTAGTGGGAAAATGAGTACATTAAAATATACATATATACACTTTACACATACATTTATGCCGACAGTTATTCAAAAATATAGATTTCACAAGTGCCCGGATCCTCTCACTACAACATCACAGGTCATCTCATGACTAAGAAACTGTTGTATGATCTTTTTTCAACTTTTTTTGGGGCTTCCTGCTAGCATGTCCATCAAGTGGTTTGTTTTCTCTTACATCGCATACCCTGGCATTAAAATTAAAATGTATTCCGTTGGCCTTGAATGAAACCACAGAAGCAAAATGTCCAGAGCTCACTAACCCTCTCCCCAGCATCTGAGACTGAAGTCACATGAGAAAAGAGCACAATAGACTGGGTAACAGAGCTAGAAGTCGACCATGCAAACATCAGACACTGGAAAGTACTATAGATACGAAGCGAACACAAGGGCCGTTCCAGAGAAACTTCCTGCCCTGACTGTGAGCCATTCCAGGAGTCGAGAGAAAAAAGTATTCATTTCCCCAGATTGTCTATGTCTTACTGTTGCAACGTAAAACTGAGTGCAGGACAACTCTGGAAACATTTTATTAACTGACTCCTTTGTGACACACACAAACAAATATTATCTCTATGTAATGGAATAACCCCAGAAATGTTCTACAGAACAAAATATTACTTTACCATTTTCTCAACAATATCAGACAAACAATCACATAAGGGCCCTAACTCTGGGGGCAGCGTGATAGTTCCTGTCTGACCATTGCCCTCTTCCATGTTGAACCTGGAGACAATGAGAAAGAATCAATCAACACGGTCTATTGAGATTTACTTCACTTCTTCAACAGCACTAGTAATCAGGTTGCTACTTGTATTATCCATGCAGAAACTTTGTTAGCAAGACGGAGCATGTGTGGGAATGTCCCAAGTGCCCAGGCTCTTCCCACAGATCACAGAAGGAGTCTCTCAGCAAACTGCAGACTCCACACAGAACCAGCAACTATCCCAGTGTTTGTCACAGAATCCCACATGCCTGAATACTTCTGACCAGGCAGTGCCCATTTGTACCTTTTCCTTGCTAACAAGTTTGTTGACCAATGCCTGGCATCCGTTTATTGAGTCTGGGTCAATTTCAAGAGTCGTATACAGATCAGGAAACAACCTAGTCACTGCTGAGTGTCGAACCCAAACCACTTATTTCACAGGCAAGCAAACTAGGCTCCATGACTTAACCGCTCCAATTTTGTTAGTAGTTTTATAATATCTACATTCAGTCTGACCAGAAGCATTTTCCTATCTATCTAGCCCGACGCACTAGCTAAGTTGGTTAAACCAGCTGCATGGTGACTAGGTGGAAAAACTTGTTGTGGTCCAAGTTCACACTCGGGGGTAGGCAGAAAAGTCACATATTTCCCAGATTTATGGTACCTATCATGGAATCAAGGCCCAAGGGTTGTGATTTCATAGTATCGAGCCATCAGGTTTACAACTCATTGTTTCTGGACCCCCCCCCCCCCCCCCCCCCCCAAAATATATATATATATATATATATATATATATATATATTTCCAACCTAAGTTATGACTTTATAGTAACAACATATTCTACTGAGTTACAAGTCACACATTAATGTATCATAATGTTCAGCTACAACAGTCAAACACATGGTTAACACTGAGTTACAAGTCACACACAATAACATTGAGTGACAGCAAGTAAACACACGATAACACTGAGTGACAGCAAGTAAACACATGATAACACTGAGTGACAGCAAGTAAACACACGATAACATTGAGTGACAGCAAGTAAACACACGATAACATTGAGTGACAGCAAGTAAACACACGTTAACATTGAGTGAAAGCAAGTAAACACATGATAACATTGAGTGACAGCAAGTAAACACACGATAACACTGAGTGACAGCAAGTAAACACACGATAACATTGAGTGACAGCAAGTAAACACATGATAACATTGAGTGACAGCAAGTAAACACACGTTAACATTGAGTGAAAGCAAGTAAACACATGATAACATTGAGTGACAGCAAGTAAACACACGATAACACTGAGTGACAGCAAGTAAACACACGATAACATTGAGTGACAGCAAGTAAACACATGATAACATTGAGTGACAGCAAGTAAACACATGATAACGTTGAGTGACAGCAAGTAAACACACGATAACATTGAGTGACAGCAAGTAAACACATGATAAAACTGTGTCATGATAGGCACACACAATAACACATGCCAAACATAAATCCCAAGCGACATGACACTAACACAACGACACGTGACACAAAAGTTTTACAACTGGCACAAACTAACACTTGTCCTATTTTGATGTTTGCTATCATGGCAATGATTTGAGCTCCTTGAGAGTTCAAAGCCGTCCACTTGGCCATCAGGTCATGGAAGTCAGCAGCCAAATCCTTGGCCCTGCGTGTGTCTCCTGTCAAGTTTGCGTAGGAATTCTGCTTGGCCTGGGGAACTGACCACATTTATAACAGATATGAAACTATAAGAGATGCAAGTGAGACAACTGAATACATTCTGACAGAAGTTAATCAAAATAATTACCTTGAAATGTCATTTATAAATTGCCATAAGAAGGCACCTTTGCTACACAACAAGGCACCTTTGCTTTACAACAAGGCACCTTTGCTTTACAACAAGGCACCTTTGCTTTACAACAAGGCACCTTTGCTACACAACAAGGCACCTTTGCTTTACAACAAGGCACCTTTGCTACACAAGGCACCTTTGCTACACAACAAGGCACCTTTGCTACACAACAAGGCACCTTTGCTTTACAACAAGGCACCTTTGCTTTACAACAAGGCACCTTTGCTTTACAACAAGGCACCTTTGCTACACAACAAGGCACCTTTGCTTTACAACAAGGCACCTTTGCTACACAACAAGGCACCTTTGCTTTACAAGGCACCTTTGCTACACCCTCATGTAAGCCTTGACCTGTGCCACTTTGTATCTGCTAGTCAGTGTCTGCAAACCCAGGACATAACGCATGACATTGCAGGAGGTGTGCAGCGGAAATGAGTCTCATGGCCTCATTCTGTACTCGGTCCAGTCCAGCTTTACAACAAGGCACCTTTGCTACACAACAAGGCACCTTTGCTTTACAACAAGGCACCTTTGCTACACAACAAGGCACATTTGCTACACAACAAGGCACCTTTGCTACACAACAAGGCACCTTTGCTTTACAACAAGGCACCTTTGCTACACAACAAGGCACCTTTGCTTTACAACAAGGCACCTTTGCTACACTCATGTAAGCCTTGACCTGTGCCACTTTGTATCTGCTAGTCAGTGTCTGCAAACCCAGGACATAACGCATGACATTGCAGGAGGTGTGCAGCGGAAATGAGTCTCATGGCCTCATTCTGTACTCGGTCCAGTCTTTCTAGCTGGGTTTTGCTGACAGTGAGGAGGCCAAGACCATAGTCAATGACGCTAAGCACAAGCCCTTGATAGAGAAGGAAAAGTAGGCGTTGTTCAATATCAGCTGCTGCTAGCACCTTGAGTGCTATCAAACCTTTCCTAGCTCTAAGTATGATGTTGTCTATGTGGCATTTGTATGACAAGCATCTGTCAAATGTCATGCCCAGGTATTTCATGGTGTCCGTTCTCTCGATGTCCACACCACAGATGCTTACCACTGGCGCTGGTGCACTAACAATGTAGGTATTCAGAGAGACCCATGTTAAGGAGGCTTTGGACGGGTTCACCTGAGCTCTTGATTCCTGGCACCACTCACTAAGTCTGTCTAGTTCGTGTTGTAGTGTGGTTGCAATTTCCTGCCTGTTTTCACCTCGACGGTAAACAAGGATATCATCTGCATACAACATTGTTCTGCCTAGGCCTACGCTTTGTGCACTAGTGACAACAAGATTGTGCTTGTGGAGTGTACCAAGGAGGAACAGGATTACTGGGCAGTTTGTTACTTCAGCATCCGATTTAGTGGTGACTTGACCCAACATGATCTGTATAAGTATAAAAGTAACAAAATGGCTCCACCAGGACTCGAACAAATACCTTCCGATCCTCAGGCAAGCGTCTAGCTGCTACACACCGAATGCCTTGTATAAGTATGCCATAAAAAATACAGAGCGTGATGTAAGCAGCTTGACCCCTGTGTCATGGAGACCTCCAGTATGTGTATACAACTCTTCTTCTTCGAGTTCACCGGTTGTAAACTCCGACAGAAAATTATGGTTTGTTCATCCACTTCTGAACCTTTTGTCTTGCTCCAGAACTTGAGTTGTGTGTGCTCATCCATTTTACACATTTGGTGTATTTGTAAGCAGACTGTTGGTTGCTTGCCTCTCAGGCAGAGGGTCTACTAATGTCTGCCCCCATAATGGGGTCCCAGAACCCACATGAAGAGTGTATATAGCAACACTAGCTTTCTTATTTGATCACATTATTAGAGAGATTAAAACAATTTTGTTAATGGTACAGGTTTGGGAGTTAACCTAGCCTCCCAACCTGGCCCAGGTGAAAGCCATGAATTCATTCTGATCACATGACCTCAGGTATGCCACCTGGTCATGGAAAATATGGTCCTGATATATTCTATATCTTGTCGAAGTAGCAGCCTTGTCCTTTACTGTCTCCATCACTGCTGCCCTCTGCTGGCTAAAGAACATGGTTCCATGCCCTGGGAGTATTTGGTATATGATGCTCACAGTCATAATCACACTTACAGAATTTCTATAAGATAGCAGAGTTCAACAATTAAAAAATGCAGGATAAGGAAAGACATCATATTTGCAATAAGCTTTAATGGATGAATGTCAGAGACAAAATCTAGCAGACAGGAGTGACATGTTGAAACAAACTGTGGGAAGACCTTAAGCACACCATCTTCTTAAACTAACATGAAGAAGGACTGTGAATGTGCTGATATGTGACAATAGAAGAACAAATTCAGGAAGAAGACACTAGCTGAAATAGAAAGATATCAAATTGCATGTATCAAAAGATGTCAGAGTGTGCAATACGAGGAGAAACACAATGAAGATCCACAGAAGCCAAGGTTTGACATGCACAGGACAACTTTTCTGCTGACCACCAGCAAACGAAGAGCACCTGATTCAGATGATAAGTGGAAGGATAAAGAGAGAAACTAGAAGGCAGCTGAACAAGACACAGTTGACCTAGATGCAGTTTTTTTTTTTTTTTTTTAATGAGTTAGATTATCTTCACAGCACTCTTGACACATCCATAGGTGCTCAGATTCCCCTCTCAACTTATTCATCAGCGTTGTGCGGTTAATAGTACCAGTGCTATGTTGGTTAACAAGACTTTGTGTGTGTCCAGTGTGCTTCTCAAGCTTGGCTGTGCCCAATTTGCGTATACTTAGAAGTGATCTGGAGACGTTGCTTCCAAAATCCTCAGAATGCCCTATCTCTCCAAGGGCAATGACAATGTCTGCGTGATCCATGGGCCGGCCATCTTCAATTAATGCAGTACCTACCAGTCTATCAGCTCTCTCATTACCAACAACGCCTTCATGCCCTGGAACGAATATGAAAGTAACTGCACACACAGGAGAATTTTACAATGACTCAAGGCACTGTCTCTGTAACCAGCCTGCCTCGACCCGCCGGATCATACTCAAAGAATCACTCAGCACACACACGCGGAAATAGTCCTGTGATCCCAGCCACATGAAAGCTTGTGTCACTGCCATCACCTCAAATAGTAAAAAATGCTGGCTTTCACTAGAGGTCTGAAAAAGTTGCAGGCACTGACCACAAAGTGTCTATTACAGCACGGCGGACATCAATGATGCATAAAAAAGTTGATGGTACTGCATACCGCCAGCAAAAATGCTCTGCCAAGATGGCATAATGACTTCCTCACTGACATCAATCATAACTAGCAGATATGCTGAGACAAAATACATGAACACCGAGCACATCTGATGACAGACCTGGTGAAGATACAGGAGACAGGAGACCTGCAGCAACCACACCTGAGTTTGAAGACATCTGGATCGGGTCGTTCTCTAAGCTTTAGTTCACAGCACAGGCATGTCATCTACAACTGTATAAACAGATTAAGATTAGTTGCATGAAACTAAACAAGATAACATCATTATTACACAGTAGTAGCAGTAGTAGTAGCAGTGTCGGCATCTGTGGCTTAAGCATTGTTGACGTGCTTCGTAATGCCGGGGTGCCGGGTTCGATCTCAGCTGCAGTCCTTGTACCTTGTGTTGGTTTTGACAGTGGTATGGAGAAGCCAACTATCAAGAAAGCGATGTCAAACTACTGGACGTAAATTTGCCTAGAAAAACCACAACAGCCAAAAACTGCTGGCGTTGGTTCTGTAAAGGATACGCAACTAACTTAAAAAGTAGTAGCAGTAGCAGTTGTGGTGGTAGTAGTGTAGTAGAAGTAGCAGCAGTTGTAGTTGTGGTGGTAGTAATGTAGTAGAAGTAGCAGCAGTTGTAGTTGTGGTGGTAGTAGTGTAGTAGAAGTAGCAGCAGTTGTAGTTGTGGTGGTAATAGTGTAGTAGAAGTAGCAGCAGTTGTAGTTGTGGTGGTAGTAATGTAGTAGAAGTAGCAGCAGTTGTAGTTGTGGTGGTAGTAGTGTAGTAGAAGTAGCAGCAGTTGTAGTGGTAATAGTGTAGTAGAAGTAGCAGCAGTTGTAGTTGTGGTGGTAATAGTGTAGTAGAAGTAGCAGCAGTTGTAGTTGTGGTGGTAGTAATGTAGTAGAAGCAGCAGCAGTTGTAGTTGTGGTGGTAGTAATGTAGTAGAAGTAGCAGCAGTTGTAGTTGTGGTGGTAGTAGTGTAGTAGCAGCAGCAGCAGTTGTGGTGGTAGTAGTGTAGTAGCAGTAGCAGCAGTTGTGGTGGTATTAGTGTAGTAGAAGTAGCAGCAGCAGCAGTTGTAGTTGTGTTGGTAGTAGTAGAAGTAGCAGCAGCAGCAGTAGTTGTGGTGGTAGTAGTGTAGTAGAAGCAGCAGCAGTTGTAGTTGTGGTGGTAGTAGCGTAGTAGAAGCAGCAGCAGTTGTAGTTGTGGTGGTAGTAGCGTAGTAGAAGCAGCAGCAGTTGTAGTTGTGGTGGTAGTAGCGTAGTAGAAGTAGCAGCAGCAGTTGTAGTTGTGGTGGTAGTAGTGTAGTAGCAGTAGCAGCAGCAGTAGCAGCAGCAGCAGTTGTAGTTGTGGTGGTAGTAGTGTAGTAGCAGTAGCAGTTCTAGTTGTTGTAGTTGTACCTTGTGTTTAAAGCTGCCAGCTGCTTCAGCTAGGCATGACACAAATTTGTGTATTGATCACGATTACTTGCAAACACCGTTGATGATACTGCCAATTCAATAACTTATAACAAAATAATCTATCTTCCAACTGGTGTGTTCGAACATGGTGTTTCACAGCACTTTGAACTTTGACTTACTGGACTTAAATGCGGGTCGGGTATCTGAGGTACTGTGCTGTGGCATTGTGTAATATTAATAAATAATATCTATCCCGTAAATTTTGCAAACTTCATTAATATCCCCAGTTCCTGATCATTGCATTGCTTATTTGTAAAACTTAAACTCTGTTCTGGTCTTATAAATACAACAATGAGTGAAAGCAAACTATATTTCTCTCTCTCTCCTTTCCTCGTTAACACAGAACACAGGACAACTGGATCCACATCCACACTATACTGACATCGTCAATCAAGAGTCATCTCCCTTCGCTTGCTCTGCTAAAATTATTAACTGCATATTTTACGGCCCGAAATGTGCGATTTTCCTGTGGTCAACTAACTCCGTGCAAGGGAACTAGCCTAAAGGATGAGTCGTCACTCTTTATTTTTTATTTGACGCAGACTGGCAACCCTAGCGTCAGGCTTTTAAGACGCATCGTGAGCCTTGATAGGGGCTATGCAGTTGCTAGCTGGACATGTTTTTGCACATGTTATGAGAGAAGTAGAACTGGAACTTGTGGCCACTGGAAAGATCTGTGGAAAGAGAGACATGGGAAAACAGCCTGAGAAGATCTGTGACAGCCTTTTGTCATGGCATGGAAGGGGGTCAGCACATGAACTGATACACGCCGTTGCGGATTGTGGAGAGGTCTAATTCCACGCCAGTCGGCAAAGCACTTGATAATGATGATAAGCTTGTATTTATGACCTGGGATATTACATCTATCCATGTCTTGCGTGGTCGACCTCTACTTCGGCTTGCATTATGTCTCAGTGACAATGTTTTCCAAGATGCACTTACTGTATAGTGGTAGGCTAGACACATGTCCGAGCCATTTTATGTGTTGTCTGTTGATGTAGTTTAGCACTGGCTCCCTCTCACCGTTCTCTTGATATCATAATCTCTTTCTCTGTCTCTTCTACTTATATTAAGAATTCGTCTTAGACATTTCATTTCAATTTCGATTTTTTCCCCCTTCTTTTGTCGTTAATGTCCATGTTTGGTACTTGAATTTTTAAAAATGTATTGAATAAGGTTCCTTTGGTGTCAATTGTTACATGTCTTATTTGTCCACATAGTGTGAGGAAGATCACTTTTCATCCAAAGTAGTAATGATTAATTATTATGAGGACGAACGTGGCTGATTAGTCCAATATGATACTGGAAAGTTCTTGAGTAGTGCGGACAACAGGTGGACGCCGTAGTAAGTTTTTCGATAAGCGATACGGTTCTTTCAAGTCTTGTCTCCGTTTCGCTGCTTGTGCAACCTCCGCTGTCTGGTAGTTGATGCACCGTACCTGAGGCATGTACCCAGAACCGGAAGAAGCCTCCTATGATGCTGTGTTGCCAGAAGAATTGAAAACAGTTTTGTGAGTGTCTTTATAGCGCATTTTGTGTGTCCTCCCTTGGACCTCTTCTCTCTTGCTAGAGCTCCCTATAAAATACTCTCTTTGGGAGGCGATAGTCTGGCATGTGTGATGGTTGACCAGCCTAAGGCAGCTGATAATTCTTCAGTATCGTGAGGATGCTAGGCAGGTTTGCCCTATCAAGGACCACAGTAATTGGGATCTTATCTTGTCATCTGATTTTGGGCAACTTTCTGAGACAAATTATAATTTAGCATGGCACTGATACACAGTCCACGTTTCACAAGCGTAGAGCAGTCCTGGGTGAATTACAGCTCTGTAAACCTTTAGCTTGTTCAGAAGGGAGATACCACTTCTGTTATAGACACTGGTATAGTCTGTCGAAACTGCTGCTGGCCTTTGAGATTCTAACGTTGATCTCATCGTCGATGTTGACTCTCTAAGATAGGATGCTGCAAAGTTAAGTAAATCTATCGACTAGATTTAACTTTTGATCATTTACGGTGATTGTGAGATCACAGTAACTTTTTTTTCTGGGAGCCCGTCAATAGATAATGAATTGTTACATGTATGTTCTGCAAAACTGCCAGTATGAAAGGGTAACAAAATATCTACTTGCCCATTGAGCACGTCGAAAATGACAACTAATAGAGGTTTTGCTAAATCGAACAGAAAGGCACCGTATATGGCATCCTAGCTATACACTAAATCACATCGTGCCAATGCCATTTTATAGGCGAACGAATAATAATAAGAAGAAGTAGTAGTTGTAGTAGTAGTAGTAGTAGTAGTAGTAGTAGTAGTAGTAGTAGTAGTAGTAGTAGTAGTAGTAGTAGTAGTAGTAGTAGTAGTAGTAGTAGTAGTAGTAGTAGTAGTAGTAGTAGTGGTGGTGGTGGTGGTGGTGGTCGTCGTCGTCGTCGTGGTAATGGTGGTGGTAGCAGTAGCAGTAGTAGTAGTAGTAGGTCCTTGTGTTTAAAACTGTCAGCTATGCACAAAAGACAGACGCCATCATAATTTCTGGTTTCAACGCTATCAGAGAGTTTCATTCATGCATGCCCTGTGTTGTCAAAGTGGTCTACCAGCGATTCTCCAGTCCTAAGGGCTCCACATACATCTCGCAGGCTTCGCTGTGGTTCCTGACAGTAAACATGAAGAAAACAATGAAATTAAAGAGGGACAAGTTAAGGGCTCCACGCAAGAAATTACTTCTAAAAAGGGCTCCGTGAGTCAATATAGTTGGGAAATCATAGTGTAAACTGGGTGGTTAACCCCGCTGGTGTCACTCTGCATTGAACTGGTAGAGAGACCCGTGTGATTCATGGCTTAACTCCGAGGCTCTATGAAAACTACTGGTAGTGTCTCGCACCTGAAACAGGTTAAAGGATAGGAGGGACACAAAAATAGACATAAACGCCCCGTCTTGCAGATGAACTGGACACATTGTTTGTTGTTCCTTTCCAGATCATGCCATCACACATCGGACATGACCATTAGTGCTCCGATCTCCTTCTCCCGAGTTAGTCCATACGTGTCTTTAGGCTAAAAACTCCCATTCTGTTCTTGTTTATGTAACTATTGGCGGCTTCCGCGTGGTTTTCCTGTCTCACTGTTCAGTCGCTATAACCAGAGTATGCAGTCTGTTCCGAGAAAAATAATTTACCACGCAATTGAAAGCTTCACAATGTTTTCTCTCTCTCTCTCTCTCTTATGGCATTGATGATGTCTCTCCCATGCATAGATTACCAATTGTTTATAGTCGCACTGCCGTCTAGTGCGTCTGCTCTTTCATCGCGTTACACACCAGCATACCTTGGGACAAAAATAAGGTTGATTTAGCGAGTGGCTTCGTGCTGTACCGGATGGATCGACTGTTTCCGTATAAACCCCGCCTTGATCTTCGAATCTACAGCATCCTCATCGAGTCGCTGAGCAAGCATGCATTGGTCAATTTCTGAGTCTTAGGTCACTCTAGGACCTTTGTAAAGGCCATAACCTCCATTGTCATGGGATTGGTGGTAGAAGTAAAGAGATCTTGACACAGTCAAAGAAAAGCAAACCCACAGAAAGTTGCTCCTGGAAGTCAAATACACTGGGCTACAGGCTTGACTAAAGAATGCGTCACAATTAGCTTGATAGGGATGTCGTATCGGTTGCCACTCTACCATTACCTTTCTACGATAATCAGAGCTTTAATTATTTGGCGTCCCCTA